AGTAACTTTTCCTCTGTTTTCAGTACAACCCGAATCTGGATACAAATGAGTATTCTTAAAAAGCGTAGCAATGAGGAAGAAAAATCAGAGAAAAATCAGAGAAAAATCAGAGAAAGGTAATTACAGTCAAAATGTTGGCACTGACATTCATAATAATTCTAAACACAGCTTTCCCAGGGTAAAATTCTGCACTTTCATTTTCTGGTGAAAGAGGACCAAGAGAGCCCACTTCCCATTTATGAGGTTGGCACTATCGCTGTGGCTCTTATGGTGTCCTTGTTTGAGCTATTCAGATTTGCTGCTCCGTGCATTACTCTGAAAACTCAGCAGACAGGGTGAAGGAGGTCATTCTGAGCAAGAACATATATGTACAAACAGAGGAAACTGAGTGTTAGTTCCGAACGTCATGCTGCCATGTTATCTGACGTGTGATTCAATCAGTCATCATCAGTTAATTGTCACTGCACCCAGCCCTTTTATGGCAGGCTTTGAAGAACCATCCTGGTATCACAGGAGGCAGTGATTCAGAAGGCGGTAACCTCCTGTTTGCACCATGTGCCACTAAGTGTCCTCTGGAGAAAGAGGGAAGCAAAACTTCTGAAGCTTGGTAATAGTTAAAAAATGTGTGAATTTTTCTTTTCTTTCTTTTTTTTTTCTTTAAGAGAAGTGCTTGCCCGTATCTTGGCCACTTTCTGCTCCAGGTAATTATTACTCCCTAGTTCCTAGACATTATTCTTCATTTTCTCTTTTAAAACACTTCTGTTACTGTGGTCATCTTGTTCTTTATCTGATCAGCTGGTTGTCCAAAGTAATTTGAAAGATCTTTTTCAACACTGAATAAAATAAAGTAGGCTTTTCCTTTTACCAAATTAATCCTTATTTTTAAGAGTTTAAATCCCAAAGCCAGGGGCATTTTCTACAATCTCTCTGCAATTGTGAGCACCGTGCTTTCACAACATGAAAGCCATGTTGTGAAACAGCCATTCTGTGCTTTATCTGGAGAAGCTGTGGTGATATAAAAAGCAGTCTCTCAAAGGCAGGAGAAAACAGATGTAAAAAATGATGCCCCAAAAAGTAAATGTTGACACTTACAATTTAGATTGCGGTTGCATCCATTGCTTTAGATTGCATTAGTCTCAGCTTAGAAAAACAAAGGCAGATTTTGGCCCACAAAGCAGTTATCAAAGGGAAAAAAAAAAAGAAAAAAAAAAGGAAAAAAAAAAAACAGACAGAAAGATAAAGGAAGGGCCACATTTTATAAACAAATGAAAGGATTTGGGCCAACAGCATGGAAGAGAGATAGACCAGTATGAGATAGTGGCAGACAAATGAGAAGAGAGTCAAAGAACATCCTTATATGATAGGAAACTGCAGTAATTCATCATAAGCTGGAAGAGGAAGAGGAGCAGAAAAGTGATTTAGAGTTTCCCTCAACAATGGAAACACGGGGGAACAAAATCTGGAGTTCAGTTCCATACAACTTTGTGATTAAAGGTCAAATTAAACAGCTTTGATTAGTAAATAGCAATATAACAAGAAGGTGAAATGGAGAGAGGCTCAGATGCAGCACTGCAAGGAAGCTACGTCAGAAGTAAAGATGATAAACTGATAATTATCAGCGTAAAAATCTCGGGCTGAGTTGTTTGAATAGATGAGGAGGCACAGAAATTGCACAGTTTGAAGGGGAAGAAGCATTTATGCAATGTCTGAAGGAGCTATTCTGGCAGGCAAGGATTCCCACTCAACATTACTACATCTCTGAGCGTGGAGAAATTCTAAGCAAAAATAACACTGAAGGATAAAGAACGATAAAGATGTCTCACACAGCTATGTCTCAGAGATAACAGACATTTTTCTTTAGTGTTGGAGATGTTGTCTCCTTGCTGCTCTCACGATCCAAAGCACATTCTGACCTGGTAAACAATCTCTTGTTGGAACAATGGAGCCTTCAAGCTACAAACTGAACCCTTTCAGTCCATGCAGCAGAACAGACAAGAACTTTGCTTCCTCTTAGAAAGCAAAGCATACTCCTAGATTAACCAGATGACATTTCTTTCCCTTTAGGACAAATTTCTAGAAGAGTTCACAGCTAACTGGCATGCAGCCAGGGTAACATTCTCTGGCACCACATGCCCATTAAGCCCCAGAGTTTGCTGGCGCAAGTGTGCTCTGCATTCTGTCCTAGAGATGGCTGCATTTCAGCAGTAATGAAACTGCAGTACTCACACAGCCACATTCTTTGCTCCAACACCCATGCAGCTCCAGCAAAAACAATGCAGGCAAAGTTAGAAGAACTACAAGGAGGTGACCAAAGGCCATTCTGTCCAACCTTTATTAAAGCATCACTTAAAAAACAGTCTTTCATTTCACTTGAGCAATTTATGAACTCTCCCCCACAGTAATTCCACAGGATTTTTAACAAGATGTATTTTCATATTCTTCTTCCAGCAGAGAGATTCTCCTGTGCTCCCTTGCAGCCGTTCTCCCAGCAGCCACGACATTACCAGACAGCTCTCTGTGTTGGTGATGTGCAATATTGACATCCCGTAAGCTCCAGCTAAGCACTGGTCATTGACACAAGAGGTTTACGAAGTACAGGCAGGCAACTGGCAAACTGAGAGGCAAAGTTACAACCCAGAGGTCAAGTGGTGCAGCGTGCTGTAAGGATCGACTTGTCACTTAAGGTTAATGGGCATAAGCAGGTTCTCTACTGTTTTGTTGTTGTTTGGAGAGTAGGCAACCTAAGTATTTGCCATACATCTTTGAAAAATCACAGAATGTTGTTGTGAACAAGTAGGCCAGCCAAGAAGGAAAGCTGATGATGCTTTGGGGACCTGCAGTGCCACACGGGCACCTCACACTGCTGCAGCCACTGGAGTAACACTAGTGAGTGGCTCAGGCACACCTGAAGCACAACAAGCTGCATACCAGGTTTCTATTCACCAGCCACACTGAGGTGAGCAAAGCTAGTTTAAGAGTTGTGCTGAGTATTAACCTCCAAATGATTCATAGGAAAATCCATACTTAAGAGCCTGATTTACATGCAAAATACGTGGTCGAGAGAGTTTGGAAAAGGGAATGTTTAGTCCCTCTCACTCAGAATGGATCCTAACTGCCTATTTCTTCTAGTTACAGTATTCAGTTTTCAAGTGTGTCTGCGTTAAGTAATCCATATGTATATATATGCGTATGTACACTTCTTTTAATATATTGAGTTTTAGATTCCCCTGTGAAACTCAGACACCAAGACCTGCTTGCAGAAGACTCATCCAAACTCCCAGAGGCCTCTTCCTGTTTTCTTGTTGTACAGCAAAGAACAATACTCATCACGCTGCCTGTAAGGCACAGGGCAATTAAAGGCACACTGCAAAGTATTAATCTGGCAGTGGCACTCATCTGCACTCTGAACACTGATTGTTATTTGGGATTAATCTAGGTCACCGACAAAAGTTGGGAGGGCAGAGGATACATCTTCCTGTTTGTTCTTTTTATTGGTGTCATGATTATTGCTGGGAACTGATAATAATATCTACTTACAGAGAAGTCTGAAGAAACCGATGCTGCTTCTGTTTGGCGAGTACATAAACTTCCCAGCTAACAGAGGCAAGAGATGTTCTTCTGGTTCGTACGTAAGACAGACACCATCTATTTCAACAGCTCTGCCCCACAATGGATGCCCTGCTGAAAACCGACTGCATTTCTGCACACTCGGCTTCTCACGTCAGCTCTTGCGCATTATCCATCACTTACAGGGATTCATTATCAAAGTACTGCATGAGAGTTTAAGCTGCACAACACCAAGAGATTTGTCCGGACTCTGGAAGAGATTTTATGACGTCTGGGATTTAAAAGCAACACTCTTTTTAAAATCGTGTCACTTTCTTGGTGCCGTGAGCCTCGAAAAGCTGCTCCAACTTAGGGAGCACATCCCAGTGGCTGCTCTGGCTCCTTTGGCTCCGACCTCCAGCCTCTCCCACACACCCACCCCCACGCTGTGCATCTCCCATTTTAGCCGGGCCCTCTCCACCTCGCAACGGGGGAAAATGTCATCGCTTTTTCCCTTTTCTATCTCTGTGCCACAAACGGAGCGGCCGTGCTTCCTCCACACCCACTCCCCTCGCCAGCAGCCTCGCTGCAGCTTCCTGTCAGCCCCGCACACCACGCCGCTTCCTCTGGCAAAAGTTTTATCTGCCTGCACCGCGTTAACTGTTTGCTTCCCACACACAGAAATGGGTATTTCTAACATTTGCCAGTTAAACCCTTTCTGGCTAGAAAAATGTAAGTGGCGCTCAGGGAGAGTAAAAAGCGCCTTATATTATTTAATAGTGAAAGAAAACTAGGGTCGAGCAGCGTATTTGCAAGCGACGGACGTCCCACGTTGTACGTGCGGGGCTGACAAGGGCACCCAGAGGTGTAACAGCCCGTGGAGCAGCAGCCTATAGCAGCGTGACACATCTCCGAAGCACCCCCCGTCCGCGGGTCTCGAAAGCCCTCTCGGAGAGGTCAGAAACACTGCCTCAGCGTTCCGCCTTCCCCACGGCTCCCGGCTGACAAGGGACCGCTAGGCGCTGCCACGAGCGCGAAGCTCCGGAACCTCCCCCGACACGACTGAGAGGCCCACGCTCCCTCCTCAAGGCTCATTCTGTCCCGGGCTCTCCATCCCCGGGTACCGACCTCCCCTCCTAGGGGATGCGAGCTCCCAGCCCGCCACACCCAGGCCGGCCTCCCCAGCCCCCTCCCTTCCCTTCGCGCCGCGGGGACGCGCCGCGCAGCCGCCCCGCGGCGGTTTCCAGTCGGCCCAGCGCCGCCCGACCCCTCCCCGCCCCGAGGCCGACACACGCCCGGCGCCCGAGGCAGGGCCGCCCCTCAGGGCATCGCGCGGGGCCCGGCGGGGGGAGGGGCCGGCGGGAAGGGGGTGGGGGAGGGCTCCGCGCCTGCGCAGTGGGGGCGCGGCGACGGGGTCAGCCCACCCCTCCGCACCGCCCCCGCCCCCGCCGCGCCAGAGCGAGGCTGGGCGTGCGGCGTCACGGCGACGGCCCCAAGCCGCGCCCCGGCACAGCGGCGAGAGGCAGCGGGCGGAGCGCAGCGGGCTCGGCCGGCGAGGCGGCGGCGGCGGCGGGGAGCGGAGGCGCTGTCCGGTAGGAACGAGGGCGCTGTCCGGGCCCACGGGAGGTGGCGATCGAGGGGAAGGAAAGGGGAGGGGGGGCGCGAGGCGAGGAGCGGCGCGCTGCGGGGGAAGGGGCAGGAGCCTGGAACATGGCGGAGGAGGAGCCGCCGCCGCCGCCCGGCCTGAGGCGCGGGGCAGTGCGGGGCCCGGCCCTGCCGCCGCCGCCCGCCGCAGAAGTTGGAGCGGAAGCGGAAAGTTGTAACCCCGCGGCTCGGGGCCGCCGGGGAGGAAGGGAGAGAAGAGAGAGGAGGGAGGGGCGGGTGCCGCCCGGCCGGGGACGGGTCGTCGCCGCCGTCGCCGTTGTCAGCGGGAAGTCCGAGCCGGGCCCCACCTAGTCCGGCCGCCCGCCGCCGCTTCCGGCCGCTGTGCCCGGGGGGGGGCCCGCCCGGCGGCGGGGGGTGCGGCTGCAGCGCCCGGCCCTGCGCGGAGCGGCGCCGCCGGCGGTCAGCGGGTCCTGCCCCGCGGAACAACAGCCCGAAGGGTGGCGGGGATTCGCGGAGCCGGAGGCCGGAAGGGACGGCGGTGTTCCTCGTCACGTCTGAACTCCGGCGGCGACGCAAATGGAAGAGCTCGAGGGATGCTTCCTGCACCAAGCCAGCGGAACGCATACCCCCACCCCCGCGTTCCCCCCCTTTACCTCCTCCTCCCACTTCCCCCCAAAAAAATACCCTTCCATCGAAATATATGTCCACTAGAAGTGAAAGCAAAGTTTTCAGAGGGATGAAATGAAATTGGGGTGTTTTGCACTGGCCTCGGATAACAAAAAGAGGATCTAGAAGCAGGCGAGGCTCCTGCAGAAGCCATCAGCGTGCTCTTTGATCTTACTGCCCTTCTGTCTGGAGGTTGTGCTGCTCTAAGGGGGAAAAAAGTCATCCTTGGGGGTGTGACGGTGAGGTGGTGCAGTTCCAATAAAGAGGATATTTCAGAGATGCGCAGCTTGAAAATTGTAGTTTGTGTGTGTGTGCCTGCATGTAGATGTTTTCATTAGTGGGACTTGTTATTTCCAGCACATAGCAGCTATATTTTATCCTAATATGAAGTAAGGAGATGGAGAATGACAACGACTTTTCAGTACTCTTTTGTGGCAAAATGTATATTGAAATCACTGTTACAGAAAAGAAGGGATGAAATGCTTTCTTTTTTTTTTCTAGTAAATTAAAAGGCAAAGAAACAATCACCTCATTTTATGTTAGTAATCATTCAGAGATAAATTTATTTCCCTTTTGAAAGTGCTGCTTTTCTCCTCTACAGAAGACTTGAAAAAGCAGTCCAGTGATCTGCTTTTGGCCTTCTATCTGTGCTAAAGTCTCAAGCTTAAAACTTAATTTGTGGAACGCTCAAGAGGTTTTTCTTTATTCATTACTTTTTTTTTTCCCCTCCCATCTCAAAGTCTGTACTGCAGTCTTCACTCTAGCTAAAAATGGGCTGAGTGTGTAGTGAAGGCTGCCTTGGTTGCTCACATCAAAGGCTTTGCAAATAAACTTCCTAAATAATGACGTGCAGTGTTCTTTCCCTGTTACCTGTGCATTTCAGAGATGTTCTGTTTAGTGGTATGAGCTACTTCAAGTTTAGCTGGCAGCTGTGGTGTAAGACTTCGTGATTATCTGAGTTCTGAGTTGCTCCATGTGCTATAAAGGTCACGTAATACATTCTATTTTTTGTGGGTTTTCTTTTTTTTTTTCTTTTCTTTTTTTTTTTCTTTTTAGCAAAGCTGAATCGTACTCGAAGCACCTGTCTGCCTGGGGGTGGTGGTGTAATCTGCAAAACAGAGTTGAAAGACTATAAGCTTAAAAACAGAGCTCACGTATGAAAAAGACAAATGGTCTTTTGTGCTGTTTGTAATTGGTTGTCTCCCTTCTGTTACTATATACCTTCCCCAGATTAATTTTCTGAGCATTATTAAAACTTTGTGATTCTTGTGCAGGGCAGTTCATCAGAAATAAATCTCAGGTGAGCCATGACAGCTTTCTTTGTGCTGTGCTAGTTTTACAGAATGAAACTGACTGACTTTTTAATTGAGCGCCTTTCTGGAACAGAAGCAAGCAGATGGGAATCTAGGTGAGAGCCTACAAAAGGAGGAAGAAATTCCTGAGGAAAGAAGTGTGCTGAAGATGACTTAGCTTGTGATCTAGCAGTCAGTAAATGTGGGAGCTAAAATAAGAGGCTGTCCACCTATCATCTGGAACATGGGGAGTGCAGGAGTCACTGCAGTACTTGGGTGCTCAGCACTTAACTGCTGTGCTGTGAACCCTGTCGTCATAGAGTGCTGCTGGCTGCTCAGAGAGGTGCTCCTGAGGGCAAGGATGTCATATAGGTAAAAGCACTTCTGGGATATAGAGGGGTGAGTGGGTGCTCTGTGAATTGCCCAGTAATGCTGAGGTGACCTTTAGATACCTTACTGACTTTTGAGAGTGCTCTAACTCTTAAAGGCACACTCAGCAATTTCTCTCAAGCTTTTGTGAGTTTTAATCAAGATTGCTTTTTCAGTAAACAGAACACTAAGTATACCCCATGCAACAAAAGTTTATATTTAGCTTGTGGTTGGAAGCAGTGCCACTCTTCTGCCTCAGAACAAGTGCCAAAGCAGACTGAAGTAGTCCGTGTATTTTGGTGTGTTGAGTCCCTGCTGAGTTGGGGCAGGTTTCTGCTGTGCTTTGTTGCATCTAGGTCAGGTGGAGGGATTTTTTAGTCAGCCTCTTCCTTTGAAGAGATTGAGGGAGTATCTACAGAAACTACGCAATCCCATTTGAAGGCAGACTTCATTTTCCTCTTCATACATGGTTGAGGTGGTCTGTTTCCATCTTTCCATGTAAAGCAGGGAAAAGGGAAGGTCTCTTTTTTTTTTTTTTTTTTTTGGATTTAATAAGGGACCTGCTTAGTAAGTGACAGCCCTCAAAATTGTTCAGTGATTGAGTGCAGAAGAGCTTGAGTATCTCACTGGATGTGTCTAATGTATGTCTTTTGTCTCAGGGCCTGTCAAACATAAGAAAACTGGGGGGGATAGGCATATTAAAAATTAGACTTAAAAGTGTGTGATACTTTGCTTGTTGTAGGCAAGCAGAGTTTGGAGGAAGTCAAACACTTTGGTGGCACAAGTCATTTCTTGATGGAACAGCTGAATGAGGCTGCCTGAAGTAGTGGCAGTGAGCACTGGCCTGAAGCCCACATCTCCCTTGCTTTAGAATACCCAAAGAACACTGGGGAACTCAAAGGCCTTTTTCTTTCTTTTTTAAACTGTGTGCACCTCTTTGTGAATGCAGTTGTGAACTTTTGACATTCTGCATGGTCTTCTGGCGGCAAGGAAGGGGAAGAAGGCTGTATGCACCAGGTTGGCAATCTGCCTCTTAGGCAACCCTCAAAATGATTTGGGGGCCCTCTACCTATTCAGAATGCTCCATTTCCATAGGCAGTGTTCTTAGCAGTAGTTTTCATTGCTGAAGCAGCAGAGTGAAGGTGCTCTGGAGCCTACAGAAAAGTGTGTAGCAGAGTTAAAGGAACTTTCTTAGAGTTGAACCAGGAAGAAGAAGAGGCGCTTGGCAGTATCTACTGTATTGTTCCATTCAGCTTTCTAGTTATTAATCTGAGGAGTTTATGTCGTTTGAAGTAAGTCCCTGCTATGCAGCTATGAAGAGAGACTGCCAATTACAGTACACATGGTTAGTTCATTCTTGGCCAAGAGAGGAAGGCCGGAGAATAGTGCAGAAGTGGGAAAGCCCATCCCTTCTAATGGACATTTGTGTCCTGTGCAAAGAAACAGCATCCCGTGTTTCTCTGCAGACTAAGATTGTCTTTAGGGATCACTGGGTATCATTCCTGCAGCTGTTACAACACAGGAAGGTGTTCCACACCTTAATTATTTGACCAGTCCTTCTGCAAAAAGGATATTGCATGCCAGTGTTGATAATTCATGAAATACCTTTCAGTGTAACCCTAATCTTAGAGCCATATGAAACTTTATATCATTAATTTTCTGGACAATATTGAGGAACTGGAACAGGGGAACCGTTTATTTTCATAACTAAGGAGAAACCTTCAAGCAAGCACCTGTAATTACAATTTGTTTCCTCATAGAAAGTCTGAAGAAAATGTGTTCTTTGCATCAAAATTTGTAGACACTGAACATTAACTTGCTTTAACTGTAAGCTTTTATTAATCTTTGTTTTCAGCAGTTAGTCTGGATTAGAGGTAGAGATGTAGTTGAACAATGTTGTTTTCTTTAGCGTGGCTTTTTTCATAACTTCATATGAAATCAGATGGTCAAAACTTTTTCTTAAATGGATGTGCTCTGTAACACCAAAATAATGTATGTTGGCTAGCCTTCTCTTTGCTTAATCTATCCTAACTTCCAAAAGCAGACAGTCTCTGCAGGTGTTCCTTTTTGTTGCTCTATATTAATGTCTTAGCTTTTCAGGTTGTATTTTTTTTTCCCACTCAGTCATCTTCTGAAACCTAGTTACTCGTGCCGTGGTATTTCCCATGCCTGCAATGAAGGGGAATTTCTTGAAGCAGTCTTCATATATCAAGAAGAAACAAAAGGGTGTGACCATATCTGTCTGGAAGATGAGCAGCAGATGTGTTTGTTATTAACATGGAGCATGAGAGGAGATGTCCAGGAGGCAGAAGGAGGACCAGAACAGTACTAGGTGTGGTACTTGAGTACTACTGGATTCAGAGCCTTCAGCAGTTGTAGGATCAGACCGGCTACATCTTTTTTTATGAAGACATTGTGTGCAATCATGTTTTTACTTAAGATGAAGCTGATGTGCTGTCTGCTACGCGGGCTGTCTCAGAACCTGGATGATACTGGTAGCTACATCATATGGTTGTGCACTTCTTGCTTGCAGTTAAACTTCAGTATTGCCTGGTCTAATACTTTCCCCAAAAGTAAGTCATGGGAAAACTAGTAGAAAGTTGCAACCTATCTTGTTTTGTTGCTTTTTTTTTTTTTTTAATTTTGAGAAGGGCAAACCT